GCTGGGTTTGAACCTACCACCTCTGGTATATGGTGCCAGCGCCCTACTCCTTTGAGCCACAAGTCCCGCCCTACTGTTTCTTTTTTAATTAGAAGAAAGTCACTCCTCACTATCACTGGAGTTTAAAAAAGAAAAGTTAAAAGGAAGAAGAAAGTCACCAACTTATATAAGACAGGTCTATCCTGCAGGGCCACCATTGCCTGAGTTAATACTGGAGATATATCGCATGATTCTTGTGTCAATGTTCTGCATTCACCTGAAAAACAGTTAGCATTATAATTTCATTAAATTAAAATTAATTCTTTATTATGTCCATTGCATATCTGAAGTCTAAATTCTATAGCAACCATGCCAGGAAAAACAGTTATAAAAACCCAGAAAAGATGCCAATCAAATTTAATCCATGTTGTCAAACAAACTAAATATTTAAGCTTAAGTAGTTATGTAACTTTAAGCGACCACATATGCTATCAGGTACACCTCAAGTCTGTATTTTATTATTACAAAAAATTAAAATTCGAAGAAGCCAATCAATGAACAAATATTTCCTGAATAACCACCATACACATGGCAGTGTAAGAGAGATGGGGTAGAGTATTAAAAATATATTACTAGCTCCTTCCCTTAGGAATAATCTTTGGCAATGCGTTAAAAATGTTATTAATATGCATAACTGATATATGGTAATAAAATTATAATCTCAAAGTAGTTTGGATTTTAAACTCTGAAAAATCTCTACACTCAACATTTTCTTAATTTTACCATTCTAATTTTATCCATAAAATGCTTATTAAGTGCCTACTATGTTCAAAAAATTTGGAACTTATTCAGAAACAGCCATCCTTTTGGTATACAAGGACTTCGCCCCACCCAGCAGTGTATCAGAGCATGCACTGACTAAAGGGAAACATGAACAGATTTGGAGGGGTCTTAGAATGACTCCACAGTCGCTATACAAGGGCTTCACCCCAAAAGCATATCAGGGCATGCACTGACTGAAGAGAAACATGGACAGCCTTGAGGGGGAGGGGGGGTCTTAAAATGACTCCACAGTCCCTATACAAGGATTTCACCCCAGCAGTGTATCAGGGCATGCACTGACTGGAGAAAAACACTTACAGCCTTGGAGGGGTCCTAGGAGATAGACACCCACAGTCGGAACCACTGTTAGATGTGGTGAAAGCAAAAAAAGATCTGGGGCAATGCCCTTGCCCTTGAGAAAGCAGAAATTCAACTGGTCAGAAAAGGCACAGTGTGAAAAGTAATAACAATACTGTGCCAGAGTGCTGAATAAATATTTCCAGTGATTAATGTTGAGAGAGACGAGGTCAGTGTGATTTCTGACGTCATGGGCAGCTCCAGGAAGATGTAGAACCTGAGCACAGCCATGACAGTTGAGATGAGATTTGGATACAAAGAGAGAAAGCCAAACAGCACTTTAGATGGGAGTAAACACCATAAACAACGAGAGGTAAGAACACAAACAGGCCTCAGAGATAAAGAGTAAATCACTCAGACCAGAGAATTCAGTTTTCACAGTACAGTAGAGGTGTAAGTAGTAACTGCATTTAATTCCAACTCTTTCCAACAGCCATTTAGTACCACCTATCACAATACCGTGCACTCGTGTGCTTCTGTTGCTTGTTTTAACTATCTGGTTTTAAGGGGCTGTTTTACAAACAGTGTATTGAAATACAAAACTAGGCTTGGCGCCTATAGCTCAACCGGCTAAGGCGCCAGCCACGTACACCTAAGGTGGCGGGTTCGAATCCCCAGCCCGGACCCGCCAAACAACAATGACGGCTGCAACCAAAAAATAGCCGGGTGCTGTGGTGGGCGCCTGTGGTCCCAGCTACTTGGGAGGCGGAGGCAGGAGACTCGCTTGAGCCCAGGAGTTGGAGGTTGCTGTGAGCTATAATGCCACGGCACTCTACCCAGGGGGACAGCTTGAGGCTCTGTCTCAAAAAAAAAAAAAAAAAAAAGAAATACAAAACTAAAGCAAACAAAGCATATGTGGTAGGCAAATAATGGCCCTCCATATATGTCCATGCCCCAATCCCTGGAATCTGTGACCATGCTACCTTACTTGGCAAAAGGGACTTTGTACATGAAATTAAGGTGACAGATCTTAAAATAGGGAGATTTTCTCAGATTACTCCCATGGTCCAAGGTAATCACATAGGCCTTAAAAATGGAAGAGGTTAGCAAAAGAGTTAATTGGAGATAGGAGACAGAAGAAGAGGTGGGAGAGATTCAAAGTTAGAGATTGAACTGACGCCTCATGGCTGGCTTTGAAGATAGAGGAAGGGGCCACAAGCCAAAGAACATAGGCAGCCTCTAGAGACTAGAAAAACCCTGAGTGGCAGTCAGCAAGGAAACAGACCTCGGTCCTATACAAGTGCAAGGACCTGAATTCTGCCAACCAACTGAATGAGCAAGGAATCAGACTATCCCTTAGCCTAGAGGAATGAACACGGCCCTGCCAACACTTTGATTTTAGCGCAGTGAGAACCGTGTCTTATTTCTGTCCCACAATGGCTCAGAACTTTGTGTTGGTTTGAGCTATTAAGTTTGTGGTGATTTATTATAGTAATGGGAAAAAATTAACTTACCATTTATAATTTTACAGTTATGTAAATAACAAGACGGATCTAATTAACTTGATTAATACAGGGTAGAAATACTGTTGTAATCTCGTCATTAATCAAGCATACTATTTAGCTGATAATAGATGCTCATAATACAAAGATAGTATGTTCAAAGTAAAGTTTTTCTTTTTAAAAATATTTTTCTTATAAAATGAAAATATATCAAATAAAGACCAAATGAAATATTAAAAATGAAATGTGAATCTTCATGAATCCAGAGAGCATGAAAGAAATCACTTACTTTGAGCCCATCGATAAAGTCTTTCATAAGCTGTTTCTTGAAGCAAAGCCATCTGTTCCATAATTTCTAAACTTAAAAAAAAAAAACCCAACATTTATTATAAGCTAAACTTTTAGTCAACAGCTACACCTAAGACCTAATTATTTTGTTTAATTATAGAATGATATGGCTACAGTATATTAAATTTTCACCATTTATGGAATGATTTCTTAATAATTTTTTACAGTTAAATGTCTAATTTTAATACTATCAATTACTTATCAATAGCTGCTTTAGTCTAAACATGTCAGGGTGTAACTTCCCCTTTTCCAAAGATAAATAAAGATTAAAACTCCTATTTCACAAAATGTCACACAGTTTCAAATAGAATCTATTAATAAAACAGCTTTAAAATTTTGGAAATGTAAGCAGCAATTAGTTCAATGAACTGTCACTCACCCAGCTGTTTGCTGATTTGTACGCAAGAGAACCTTGACATCGTTATGAATCTGTTTTACTCTTCCCAGTGCCTTGAAAAAATCCTTTAAAATTAAGAATGTGAAGTTATGTCCATGCTTTCTGGTAAAATTACATTACTTGAAATTGAAAGATCACTACAAAGGGAAAACAAATTCTTTCACCTATTCTAATTAGCCTTCCCATATGGATCTCAACTTTCTCTAAGTTTTCATGGCAGGTCTAACACGTACTTATTTACATTTTTAAATTTACATGTATTAATTGGAGTCCTTCCATGTGCCAAATACAAATAGTGTGCTAGTTGGTAGGAATACAAAATTTATAAAGACAAAAATCCCTGCCCTCAAAAAGTGAAAGGGAAATGCAAACCTAATGATTACAACACAAAGAAAAGTCCATATTACACATCTCTGATATAAACACAGCATTCTTAGGCTGAAGACGATGTTTTATGTATCTGTTAAACATTTGTTCTTGCCACCTCATTCTGGAAGAATGCCAAGTTGGACAAATAAAAGATGCTTATTAAATATATGGTTGACTGATGTCACACTGATTTTTTTTTCTTTTGAAAAATGGACCGGAACCTCAGTTTCCAGAATGCCACAAATCGTGTTCCAACCATGAAAATAATGGGTGTGTTATTTTTCTTTGATTAACAAAACTATAAGGAAAAAACTCCTTCCCTAATACCGTTTAGTATTTCTGTCAAGTGAAGCAAAAGCGTCATGTCAAACATATCAAATGTCGGCTCGGCGCCTATAGCTCAACCGGCTAAGGCGCCAGCCACG